GCGACAGAGTGGGACTCCAACTCAAAAAAAAAAAAAAGAAAAGAAAACATGGCAGCTATAGCTCAAAGAGCCATGTGGAGACAGCAGAGTTTAACAAAGCATTGGCTGGCGTTTCACATTTTAATCAAGGAAATGGGTACAGAGAACTCACTTCACTCACTCAGATCATGTGACTTCATTGGGATGATCAGATCTATCTTTAACCTGGCTGCTTTTCCACAGGCTCACACTGTCTTCAACAAGATCTTAAACTAGAAGGCAGGGGTTCAAATCTCAGCTCTGCTAGTTGTGTGCAGTTGGGCAAATTGACAGGTGAGACAGCCAGAACTGCATGGGGCCGGGAGTAAGACTCGATGAGGCACAGGTTGTCTCTGCTTTCTCTCTGAGCCTTTATCTCTTGCCTATTAAATGGCCATAATAAACTCACAGGCCCAGGAGGTGATGACAACATGAGAGTACATATGTGAAGGAGAACAGAGTGTTCCATAAATATCAGTTATTGAGGGTCAACAGGCAATTTAACATTACCTTTTCTTGGAACTTGATGAACAACTCAGGAATCCATTAATATCAAACCCAATGGTGAGCACTTGGTCTTTATTTATGGCTGTAAGAGAAGAAGTTGAATTAACTCTATGTGAAGTCCACCCAAGAACATGCATGTCTGAAATTAACAGCTTTCCTGACTCACAACACACTCAAACTCCAAGTAACTGTTTCCACTCCTCTGGAAAAATACCATGGGCTGAGGACACAAGGTGGTCAGAAGTGATTTCTATTTCCTTATGACTTAAAATATGGTTCTTAAACTTCAGCATGAATCAAAATCACCTGCAGAGCTTCTTAAGACACAAATTGCTGGTTCCACCCCCTAGAGTGTCTGATCCAGCAGGTCTGAGGTAGGACCCAAGAATATGCATTTCTTTCTTTTTCTTTTTTTTTGAGTTGGAGTCTCACTCTGTTGCCCAGACTGGAGTGCAGTGACCGCTCCCGGCCACCACAGCCTCGACCTGCTGGGCTCTGGCGATCCTTCCGCCTCAGCCTTCCGAGTAGCCGGAATTACAGGTGCG